AACATTATGAACATAAATATATTTGGGAACATTGATGGAATATGAGGTTTATAAATGTTTCAAATAATAGAAAATTGGTAAAGTAAGTTTTAAAAACAAATTGGTAAAATCAAGTGATCTGGAGAAAGTTGGTGCTGGACCAAGAAGAACACAGACAACAAAATGAAAAAGATGGATCCGCACACTTCTTGTTACTCCTAAATGCATCATGAGCTACAAAGTAGATTGGAGAACCATATTTCTTCCTTTTTTTTTTTTTTAATGTACAGTTAATTCATGCTCTTAAGCATCAACATGGCCCAGATCACAGAAGAACAGCCACAGATGGTCAGGGAGCTAAATACAGGTCCAATCATTTAAACAAAGATGTGAATCACCAGGTTACTGGTGTAAACACCATGATGAAAACCAGGTTAAATCCAATAGCCAGGAAAATACTCCATAACAAGAGGAAATGTTCTATCCCAGCCCACACATGCAACCCCAATCAGCCTAGCATTGATTACCAATTAAAAGCTGAAATAATGTTACAAAATCAACACGTTAGGGTTATATTAAGATTAAAAACCAAGCTGGTACAGTCTGAACGGCATGCAGCATCTAAGTCATTTATGGCCTGCAATAATATTCAATCATTCCAGATAAAACCCAAGATAAATATTTATCCCGCAGCCTTTGGGTTGGTAGTACGATCCCTCTAAGTGGGATACTTTGTCTGTCTGGAGACCAATCCATCACACTGGCAAGTATGCACAAGCACGCCGTACACTAGCACATACACACACACAGAGCCCGGTCCATCAAGCTGTCCCCGTTAAATCTCAGAAATGTTATTTTTTGTTGACTTTCTCATGCCAGCCTTAAAGAGAAAATCTGGAAACTGAAACTTGTGGTGGAAAATAATTTGCTTCAAACACATGGAAGAAATATTAGGAGGGGAAGAAAAAAAAAACATTGAAAAGGTCTTTGACTGAATTTGGTAGAACTTTATCGTTCAGTTGTTGCTTAAGATGTCCTGAAAAATACTGAACATTTTTAAACAAATAAAACGCCAAAGAGGAAAACATCTGGAAACCAGCAGAAGAAACCGGCGCCTTGTTTTTCACCAAACTTACTGCACACTGACCCATTTTACAGGAGCACTTAACTGAATTTACGGACTCAGAAGCTGTGAGAACCGGCGCTGACGTTTTACTGGTTTAACTGTGTTCTCCCAGAACTGCTGAGGCCCCAGTGTCTCCCCCTGGACTGAACGTACAAGCAAAACAAAATCTGGTGACGCAGCATGGAAGCTGACAGACACGACGAACTCAACCACGTCAGGTTGAAGAAGCAGTTGGCTGAAGTGTGTTTGAAGTGTGAGTCACGTCCAGTAAAAACACAGCTATCATCCTGGGCCTCATACCACTTCTCAGAAGTGGACAAACAGTTGATTGTGCAATAAGCCTGCCCCCAGCCTCAACGAAAACAGAGACTACTCCATTATAGTCGGGTCAAACCATCACTGTGCTTTAGAACCAAATTTTTCAACAATGGCTGGACTGATAATGTTAAATCAGCTGACCTCTCTTCATGTGCTGCAGCATAATCAGCCCAAATCTACAACATTCAACATAAATTTGCAGTTTGCAATAAATATGTGAAAAATTATCTGGTCTAAATGTGATGTTTAACTAAAAACACCCTTCACCCTAAACAGTCTTCATGAAACATGGTGCTGGCACCATGATGCTGAGGGAAAGGTTTTATTTTTTAAGGATCGGGCATCAGACGTAATGGGAACTACCGTACTAGAAGGAAAACATGTTTAACTCTTTAAAGCCCGATCCAAGAATAAAACAAAACAGAAAATTATGTTTTTTTGGTTTGAAGTCCTTATTTGGCCTTTTAACAAAATATGTCAAAAGAAAAAAACAGAAATACATTTTTGATATTAATAATTTATTACTATGCGATAAGTCAAGATTATCTTGTGTGTAGTCTTCTGCCCTCTGTTATCAGGTATATCTGGTTGTGTACAATAGGATTTTAAGCAAAGTTTTTACCATGAAATTATGCAAAAGGTGTCAGACGCAAAACATTTCAGAAACCTTATGTATCAAATATGATACATTTGGCATTACAGGGTTAAGGCTGCAGAAGATACAAGACCAGGGTTAAGGTTTACCCAAGTAAACGATCGTAAACATACAGCCAGAAGGAAAATGGTTTGAAATAACAAGACCCTCAATATCAAAGTATTTATAGATGTACACCTGCTTCAACAAACAGAATGTAGCTTAGTTTGATTTTATTCATAAGGAGGTAATTAATCCACCTTATTCAGCTTGATTTGACCCGGGATAAATCCAAAATGTTTCTGAGGACTGGTTTGGGTCCCTGGTTTAGATTATAGCATAATCAGATTGCTGATGAAGATTCTCAGTCATTAAAGTCATAGTCAATCCCAAAAAGTTTAAAAAACAATCCACTGGACTTGGTTTCCAAAGGTTCAAACCTTTGGAAACCAAGTCCAGTGGATTGTTTTTTAAACTTTTGCAGAACATAAAGATTATGCTCCGATCCAGGCAACATTCAGACTTTAATTTAGGTTTGATTAAGATGCTTTTTATTTTTCCAGGGACAAGTAACCTGGAAGAAAAAGATAAATAAAACATCTTTCTCATGAGCAAAAGATCAGTACAATTCCTTCATGCCTGAACAGCTCCTTTCTGCACTTCTAGTCTGACCAAAAGTTTTATGTTGAAAGTCTCAGTAGACGGTCTGCTGTGCCATTCCAGTGACTGGGGGATTAGGTTAAAATAGGCTAATTTCAAACACAGCTTTTTATTTTTTAAATGAAGTGTTGAAATAAAATAAAATGAAGGCAGCATATCCTTTTACCTCCATTTTGCAATTATGGACAAATTTATTGTTGCTAAATCATAAAAAATTGTAATAAAATACTTTTACGTTTGTGGTTGTAACCCGAGAGGTCCAAGGGTTGTTTTGCGAGGTACTAAGAATTGCCTTAGTGTCAATGACTGAGGTTAAATAATCCCTGGAAATCACTGAATAAATACCAACAATGCATTACTGACTGTGTTTAAGAGAGGTCTCCTGGATATGTGCATGTGGAAGCAATTTCAAAGCCCATAATCCCCCCACCGCCACCACCCCCTTTTAGCCCTCGGGACCCACACAGTCATCCTGGCACTACGTTGCTCCATATAAAGAGCTGCCAAGCTGCGGTAAACAATTTTGTTTGTGGCAAAAGTTTGCTAAACACAGCTTCACGTCCTTACAGACGGCACAAGAACAGTCTGCAACACTAACCACCAACGCTCAGGCAACAGGACGCAGCTTTAAAAGGCTGAATAGAAAGAGTTTAAAGGTTCACTGACATAAACACGACTGGCGGCAAAAATAAACACGCAAAGTTTTTATTTTTTAGGATTTTATTAAAATACGGTGTTGTGTTTACCATTGGAGGTTACCATCACAAACATGATTGTTTCTAATAAAAAAGTAAACAAAAAAAAAAATAAAGCTTAAGAGCCTAGTTACAGATTTTTTTTTCTGGCGTTTTTGTTTTTCCAGTCTGGTGAAAGAAAAGAAATAAAATAATTCACAATGAGAGTGATTGGAGGAGGGGGGGAAAAAGAAACATGTTCACATGTTGTAAAAATACATTTCCCAATTTCAACATCACACAGTCACTTTCAAGCATTCATTCATTCCTGGTTAGATGGTTAGATGTCAGTGCTAAAAAGTATAAAACAAAAATAAACAAAAAACCAAACGGTTCTGATCTGTGCACAGAACGAGGATCTAGAGGTCAGCAAGGACGCAAGAGGTCGGGTCAACAGTCTGAGGGAGGAAAACCTCGAGGTGAGGGACAAGGACACGCAGGCCGACTGCTGGAGGATATGTGTGCATTTGAACCCTGAGAGAGAAGTGACCAACTCTCACTGAAACCACGCCAGTGTCCGCTGCACTGTCCCTACCGAGCGCAGTGGGTGAAGGTGGCAGTGCGGTCTCACACCCAAGAGTTAAACGTCAGCCGCTGCACTATGAGAGAAGGAGCTGGCTGGATCTGCTTTAAACAAAACAGAAAAAATGTGAGTCACCTAGGAGGAGACGTCAGAGCTTACGCTGGGTTTCTTTGGCTGCAGAATGAGCAGCTTCAACAAGGCTAAACGTGGTTCTTTACCGGAACAGGAAATAAGTGGTGCTGTAAATTCAGACCTGTATGGGGAGCGAGGAGTTTTATTCAGAGACCTGTTGTCTCCTGGCTTCACCTGCTGTGGTCAACTGTATTAAGGCAGTGAGTGGCTCCAATGGCAACTTTCTATACCAGCTACTGTAACAGGGGGAGAACAAATAAGGCCCACAGGATATCAGCCAGAAACGACAGATTTTAAGAAAGAAAAAAACAATATAGGAGGAGGGGAAACAGGCAGGGATCTCATTCTCTCTGAAATGTTTCAGTACAACATGTTGAACACAGAGAGCAGACCTGTTAAAAACCAAACGGTTTAGCGCTGGACTGGGAAATATATATCATCAACAGGACATTTCAAGAGTATAATCCAAACTATGGGGTTATTTTTTTTTCTTTAAAAATATATACTTATCACATGACAAAGGAGCCACCTGTCGCTCATAGACTCTGAGGGGACAAACTGTACATCACTGGAAACTGTCTACGACTGAAAGAAAAGGGAAAAAAAAAACACTTTGATGGAGACACAGAGAGGGGGGGGGGGGGGGGGGGGGGGGGGGGCTGAGGGTCTCATTTCCCCTCAAAAATTAATGCACATGCACTATAGACAGCAGCTTAATGAGAGAGGGAGTTAAATGTAAGCATGTACTACCACTGTCCTAGTCCAACTTCTTTCACTTCCTTGGCTAATGCTTAAAAATTAAAATCGTTTTACAGCCTAAAGTCTGAAAATTGTGCTAAACTGAGTGACAAAGGCAAACAGATGAGTTGGATTTCGACGCCTGAGGAGTTCATCTCAAATTTATTTCAACTGGGCTTCCTCTTTTTTTTTTTTCTTTCAATTTTATCATGACTGCTACAATTTCATCTAGAAAATCTGTACACAAAAAAAAAAGGGTAGCACGGTACATTCAATATCTGTTAATGAGGTACTAGAAAGGTGTTCCCTTAGAATCAGGGCAACAGCGTTTTAAGAGTTAACTTTACGGGACGACTCCTTTGGAACGGGTGACAGAGCGAGGGGAGCAAACACTCACACACACACTGAAACACACACACACACACCACTGTCTTTAAGATGCAAGCATGCAGGAACGCTGGCTGCCATTTGCTCCTGCAGGGAATCGAATCCGTACGGTCCTGTCCCGTCTGAAGGAACTGGTGGATGCATACTGGTTTTATGTGCACTGATGCTGGGGGGGCTATGATGCGAGAGGATGATGAGGATGTGTAGGGTGGTTGTGAAGTCCTATCAAATTTAATTTTAGTTAATTTCTAAAGGTTTAATACTAAGTTCAAGTGATGGAACAAATATCTTTGATCTGTTGGGAGGCCGGATAGAGAGCGCCCTCTGCTGGCGTTGGGGTACAAATGAGTTTCTCTTTAGCTGCTTGCCAGAAATCTTGGAGGAAATAAAGGGAGAAATGCTGAAAATACAGAAACAAGGTGATAATTGGGGAGGGTTACTCTTTAAATGGTTTAAGCTACAGAGTTTCACAGTTAAGAGAGCTCCAGACAGACTGCATTAGAAACCCCTCTGCTGAGCAACAACAGCACCACAGAGGTTTAAGGGATGGAGGGCTAGAGGGCAGCTAGGTTCTGCTCAGTTTACCTTAAGAAGCGGTTTCCCCCAATCACAACACGGGCAGAGAGAGGGGGAAGGAAAACAAAAATAAAACAACAACAACAGAAAAAGAGAGTAGTAACACGAGCCATCAATGTACAAAGTGGAGCTTTGAATGTCCTGTTTCTGCTGGAGGCAGCAGCCTAAAGCCTCGTGTCGGAAAAGCTAATTCTTCTCAACAAAACGGCAACACCTAGAACCACAATAGATCAACTTTTCATTAACACAACAGCCAGCTAAGGAAGTAAAACCAATCCAATAATTGCATCCTTGAGAACAGAGTTATTGCTGACATTGTTGGGGGGGGTCTGGTGGTTGGATGGGTGATCGGTGGGATGAGGATGGAAGGATGTGGGTCTGATGAGGATGGGCCGTTCCTGGGATAGTTGTCTGATCAGATGAATGACTGTAGATCCAAGATGGGTCAGACTGGTACTTCCTGTGCAACACAGGGTAGGTTGGTGTCTGATCCTGAAGGAGCGAGGCAGAGGAGGGGCCAGGGGGGGTGGGGGGTTCGGTTTCCAGAGATGACGGAATGTGCCAGAGCTGGCAGAGGGGGCTATTGGTCGGAGGGGATGTCTCTGTCGGCTTCAGCCTTAGTTGGCTGCCCTGGGGACGGGGCATGAGGGGGGTGGGAGACAGGGGCAATGCCATGTGCCAGGGGTCCTGAAACCAGGCTCTCTGCTCCTGGGAGGCCCCCCGCTGCTGCTGCCACGTTGATCAGACCTGGAGGAAATCTGAAACAGAACCAGAACATCTTCTTTTCAGCCTCCTGACAGAGCCTCATGTCCTCTCAGTCGCCGTTCGCTCTTCTCACCTGTAGGCGGCTCCATTCAGCTCTGGGTGAACGGGAGCTGCCTCCATGGTGGGCCAATGGGAGGCAGCCATCAGATACTCCTTATTGACACAGTTCTTCAGGCTGTCTGGGATACGACCTGCAAAAAAACAAAACAAATCATCCACCATTTTAAGTTTTTTTTTTTTTAAACATTGCAGACATCAATTATACAAAAAATTTTGTTTAAGGCTGCTGATCCGTTCTAAGAGTTACTAAAATAGGAGGCGTCTTCTTCGATTTCTCTGCGACTGCTCCTCTAACTGTACGACCGCCATCAGCTCACGACTAACCGCTCAGACCTATGCGGCAATTTGACAGGCAAGTCTGGAGTCACCAGACAAGGAAGTGAAAATCTTCTTTGGGGAAAACCGAACCTAAAATTATGGCAAATCTCGACGTAAACATCGGAATCCATTTTACATTTCCTCACAGAACAACTTTTGTTGTAGAAATCTGGCTGTTATTGTGCGATCTCAAAGTTTTCTGTTGCATGAAAGTTCAGTCTCAAACATTTTTTATTTCCTAAATCTATCAAGACCTGGAAAAAAAATAATTCCAGACCTCTGCAGATTTTAAGACAATAGGAAATCTGTAGATCTTTAGAGAAGAAGAAACAAAGAAAACTACAGTCAATCTCCTCCATATACAACATATATGCAGTCGTCTCTTTGCATGAAAGAACAACAATATAAACTTTAATACCGACTCCAAAATAGTTTGTTTAAAAAAATAAAAGAAATATGTGTTGGAAAACTGTATTACTGATTATTCTAATTCTATGATCAAGGCATCGAAGTTACCTTAACACTCCGCAAATAAACTAGAGTGATAAATGAAATCACAGGTTATCCCAGTTTTCCTTCAGTGACAGTTTCTCTTGCTGTGAGTAAAAATGATCTCAAAATGTGCAAAACTGCGACTGAGGGAAAACTGCAGGGAGGCACAATTTGAAATACCTAATTTAGTGCCTCCCTAGTGGAATTTGCATTATAGTTTGGACTTTTTTTTCTTTTGCCTACGATTAATGGTCGAGATGCTACAGTTCGTAGTAGAGTGATAAAGACATTCAGACAAAAAAAACAAAATTCAGGAGGCAGCAGGTTAACGGCAATCCATAGAGTCACTGCAATCAAATATCTTTTTTATGGAATGTAGTTTACCAGTAGGATAGAATTCATGAATGCCATGTATTCACTCTCATCATACTATCATTATTGCTGATAATTTAAAACAGAATTTAATGAACAAGCTCCATGGAAAGTGGAGGGAAAATGTGGGGTTATTACTAAGGTTGAATGATTATATCAAAAATCTAAATTGCCATTATTTTCAACTAATATTGCGACTTTATTTTGAATTATCTTTGCACTAACCACAAGCCTTTAAATGTTTCACCCCGGGGTTTCAGTTTTTTCATTCGCTTTAAAGCTTGTTTGTCCAGAGTCAATTGTTGCAGGATTTTACTGTAACCAGAAAGTGATTATTCTACTTCCAAACACTGATCTGCATGCTAGCAGAAAGTTTATTTCATTTTTCTCCAGAAGCAAACCCACTTCAAACATACACTATATTGCCAAAAGTATTTGCTCACCCATCCAAATTATTGGAATCAGGTGTTCCAATCACTTCCATGGCCACAGGTGTATAAATTCAAGCACCTAGGCATGCAGACTGTTTTTACAAACATTTGTGAAAGAATGGGTCGCTCTCAGGAGCTCAGTGAATTCCAGCGTGGAACTGTGATAGGATGCCACCTGTGCAACAAATCCAGTCGTGAAATTTCCTCGCTCCTAAATATTCCACAGTCAACTGTCAGCTGTATTATAAGAAAATGGAAGTGTTTGGGAACGACAGCAACTCAGCCACGAAGTGGTAGGCCACGTAAACTGACGGAGCGGGGTCAGCGGATGCTGACGCGCATAGTGCGAAGAGGTCGCCAACTTTCTGCAGAGTCAATCACTACAGACCTCCAAACTTCATGTGGCCTTCAGATTAGCTCAAGAACAGTGCGCAGAGAGCTTCATGGAATGGGTTTCCATGGTCGAGCAGCTGCATCCAAGCCATACATCACCAAGTGCAATGCAAAGCGTCGGATGCGGTGGTGTAAAGCACGCCGCCACTGGACTCTAGAGCAGTGGAGACGCGTTCTCTGGAGTGACGAATCGCGCTTCTCCATCTGGCAATCTGATGGACGGGTCTGGGTTTGGCGGTTGCCAGGAGAACGGTACTTGTCTGACTGCATTGTGCCAAGTGTAAAGTTTGGTGGAGGGGGGATTATGGTGTGGGGTTGTTTTTCAGGAGCTGGGCTTGGCCCCTTAGTTCCAGTGAAAGGAACTCTGAATGCTTCAGCATACCAAGACATTTTGGACAATTCCATGCTCCCAACTTTGTGGGAACAGTTTGGAGCTGGCCCCTTCCTCTTCCAACATGACTGTGCACCAGTGCACAAAGCAAGGTCCATAAAGACATGGATGACAGAGTCTGGTGTGGATGAACTTGACTGGCCTGCACAGAGTCCTGACCTCAACCCGATAGAACACCTTTGGGATGAATTAGAGCGGAGACTGAGAGCCAGGCCTTCTCGTCCAACATCAGTGTGCGACCTCACAAATGCGCTTCTGGAAGAATGGTCAAAAATTCCCATAAACACACTCCTAAACCTTGTGGACAGCCTTCCCAGAAGAGTTGAAGCTGTTCTAGCTGCAAAGGGTGGACCGACGTCATATTGAACCCTATGGATTAGGAACGGGATGTCACTTAAGCTCATATGTGAGTCAAGGCAGGTGAGCAAATACTTTTGGCAATATAGTGTATCACCGCCACTTAAAAGTTCTGGAATAAGAAAAAAGCTGTCTCTTAGTCTTTAATAAAACTGATGCGACCAAAATGGAGTTCCTCTGCGATTTTCTTAAGTTGCAATTATATGGCAAAAGCAATTATTTGCCCAACCCTACTTACTACTAAAATTACAGCGACAATAAAAAGAAACATTTTAAACGATCCTTTTTCATTTTAATGTTGCAAAATTAAGCATTTCTGACAACTGATTACATAATTGGCACCGTACTGACATGTATATTATAACAGTCATAGGTGGTTTACCGGTTTGTTGCGTAGTAGGTGTCGTAATTTACCTTTTTAATTAATTCATATACTATCATAAAACAGCTTAAAGGCCTAAGGCTTTACCAGTAAATCTTTGTATCGTCTGACACCAGAAGTGCTAAAGAGGGTTGCAAAGAGCTGCAACACAAACCATCACGTTAGACAGAGGTTGCTAGGTAGCATAATAATCTGTTAGCTAACAGCTGGGAGTCTCTGTGTTGCTGCTACTGGAAACATTGGTAACTTGGCAGAGAACATATTGGAATACCAAGAATGTCAGCTATTAGGGTCATTGGGTTTAACACTCAACCTGTAACACCAGGAAACGGTGCAACCATAAGATCTGATACAGGAGGATCGACAGCACAAATGCAGTAACAATCCACCAATTCAAGGGCATGATCCAGACAGAAGACAGAGGAGAGTTTAGAGCAATTATTAAAATGTTTGACTCAAGGTGTGTCTTACCAGAGCGGAAATACTGAAATGGGATATTTAGGTGTGAAAAAAAAAGGAAATGTTAATGTGACGTTTCCATTGGGTTTATAACCAAGTGAGCTAAAGTATAGCATCGTCATCCAAGTTAAGTCGTCACCCATAGCTGCAATCTAGCACTGACCACAGATCAGTGATGGAGGAAAGTATTAATGAATTAATGTTTTGTTCTTAGGTTAAACTGTCAGCTAGTAACGTTGATGTTGCTTCGGGCCATGTTTATGAGCATAATGGGAAGATCTGGGGTCATGCCGACAGCAGATTAACTCGAGTTTGCTAGAGCAGAGCTGATTAGACAAAAGCATTTCCATCTCCAGTTGTGTACATTAATTGAAAAACACCTCAAGCATTTTTTGCACATTTCTGAAAGTTTAAATTTCCCAATCAGGCTTTTCTAATGTCATGCTCCAAAATGCACATTAAAAAAAGTACTATCCCAACAACAATGAGGTAAACTGGACTACTAGAAATAGATATGTCGGTCAGCTGATATTTTTGGCTGATTTTTGGAAGAACATTAGTTTAATGACAACATTTCTACTTGAAGAATCAGGAATTTATTACTGAGAATGGCTGCTCTTAGACCCTAATCTGTATTAATTAGAGCACTTTGAAATCAGCTATACTTGGCATGGCCATGAAGCTCTACATCAGGCTATACTATTAGAAGTGTCAGAGGGCTTCAGATGAGCAAAACTTACAAAGATGCAGAACTCTAATGTTTACGGCACATCCTGCATGCTTTTACTTTGAAGTCTAGATATCAAAATGAAGACAACTGTGTGGTTGCCGGAGTAACGGCAGTTGAAAAACGAAGGAGCGGAGAGACCGATTTATTACATATATTTTTGTTTAGATATTGTAAATGGTTAATCAAAATCCACAGTGAGATGTGGTCGGTTCCAGTGCTGATTGAAAGCATAATAAACCTGATGGCGTATACGTGAAGTGAGAAACGACACAGTTGACGGAGTTTTAATGTACGCACCCATCACCACCGCCCATAACACAACACTGCCACCCATTTCATGTGGACACACGGGCAAAAACCCACTGAGATTTCAGTCGCTGAGGCAGCAGCGTGAGGGCCAACTGCGCCCTCTCCTGTGCTTGGTCAGCATTGAAACAGCAGCTTCCACTCGCCATAATTTGGCAGCCATGCCTTAAGGTCATGTGAAGCGCATGTTGCTTCCTGCAATTGCATCCAATGTGAATATGGTCATGTTAATAGATTTATGAATATTTCTTTTTGCTTACATTGAGACTTATGTAATGTTTCTTATCAAGGTGTCATTTTATGTAAATGGCGGAGAGGGGAAAAAAAAATTGAAAAAAACTACAGCACATATCAGAGATCGGTTAGAGCGATGTCAAAAAAATAAATTAGGCATTCTTTAGATCCTGCTGGTCGATTTAACTCACCGGTGATGGCCCGGCGAACCTCTCTGGCTGCCTCTTCACGAGCCTCAACTGAAGCCTGTTCACTGTACCAAGATGTGTGAGGGGTACAGATCAAGTTGGGGGCATCCTTCAAGGGGCCCGTTGAAAAACTTCAGAAGGAGGAAGGTTATTAGCGACTGATCGGTGCAGATACGAAGTAACTCTGGCATATATCACTCTTACCTGAAGGGTTCTGTCTCATGTACGTCCAGGGCGGCTCCACGTATCCGGCCCTCCTTCAAGGCCTGAGCCAGAGCTTTCTCATCCACCAGTCCCCCTCTTGATGTGTTCACCAGAAAAGCTCCTTGGCGCATCTGGAAGAAAAACAGTATAATCAAACATCCTACAGCAAATGTGTCCATAAAGGCAGCAAAATAATTTAATTATATAATGGCTAAAAAAGAAAAAGAGGTGAACTGCTGAATAGTGAATGAGGTAGTCACTATGTAACACTATCATCCAGTCAAACTGCTTAAAGCGGTTTGGGGGCCTGCCATACAGGACTGAATTCATTTATTTTCTCCTCGTAAAGACAAATATCCCTGCTTTATGAAGCACACTTTGGTTTACATGCAGTAATACTAAAGTTTTCCCTAATCAACTTATATGGCAACAACTCAGGAATATCTACTTTTATATGAATTTATATGTTAGGTATACATTACATAATAGAGATAAATAATACTTTATACAAAATATATCTTCATAAAATGCCAAACAAAAGAAATCCAAAAAGGAAAAGATAGCAAAGATTAACAGTACTTAAATATCAATACAAGCATTAGACTATGGATGTAGACATCTAGTTATTTTATTTTTTATAAAAAAAGCAAAGATTTTTCACAAGTTGAAGTTCCTGGAGTTAAACTAACCCAAAAAATAAAAAATGAAGCTAACAGTTTTTAAACAGACCCCAGAGCTGCTATTTGAGGAGGTCCCACTTTACCATTTCATTGAAAAAACAGCTAATGACTTGAGATGCTTCAAATGTAATTGAGGGTAAGAAACATGAATGGTTATGGACGGGCTTTGCATCCACCAACCTGTTTGATGGTGAAGTCGTTAATGAGGTGGTGGTTGTGCTCGTTGAGGCTGCAGTGCAAAGACACACAGTCTGAGTGTATGAGCAGGTCCTGCAGCGTGGCCATTCGCTGGAGGCCCAACGAGCGCTCCACGCCATCAGGCAGGTAAGGGTCATAAAAGATTATGCTAAACCCAAACGCCTTGGCTCGCAGGGCCACAGCCTGGCCAACACGCCCTAAGATCAGAAGATGTTGAGGTTTTGAAAAAAATAATGTAAAAATTGTTTGCAAGTTGTGTTTAATTTGATCTTGAATGAGCTTTAAGATCCATCTCAACTTACCAAGACCGATGATGCCCAACGTTTCACCTCTGATACGGGCGGCGCCTCCGGCCACCTCCCTTATCTGCTCCACGCTAGAAGCACGAGTCCCCTCCCTGAGGGCTTGGTGCATCCAGGTGACCCGCCTGTACAGGTTAAGGATCAGACATAGCGAAGTGTCGGCCGTCTCTTCCACAGAGGCTGCTGGTACGTTACAGACAGCGATGCCTGGATGAGAGCAAACAGGAGAAATGAGGCACTTGTGGCTAAAACCTTAATTTGTCTAAGATAATCTGTAAACATCGTCATCTCACCAAGCTCAGCCGCTGCTTTGACGTCAACATTGTCAAATCCGGAGCCGATCCTGACAATAACTCGTAGTCCTTTAAACTTTTCCAAGTCATCTCTGGATAAAGTTATAGTGTGATACAGCAGAGCCGCCACGGCTTCATTTAACACCTGCAAAAAGCAGATTGTTCTTAAATGATCAGCACATGTTTGTTCAGAGTTGGTACAAGAAAAAAAACATTATTTTAGGAAAAGCAGTCAATGTTTTCTGTTCATAAACCACGGATTTCCACAAGACATTCTTTTCTACCTTCTCATGGATCTCTTGTGTAGACTGAGCGTCACAGAAAGCCACGGTCGCCACGTCTTTGAGGATGGGCATTTCCACTGTGCAGTCGCGCCCATCTAGGAGGGCCACCAGGGGCCGTGGGTGCATCGGCCCATTCAGGATGGGGGGTCGGATACCTGAGTCAAACGGTGAAAAAAATCCATTCAGATAAGTCAATCAGTGGTTTGGATTTTAACAGATCAAACCATTTTACAAAAAACCCAGGGTGTGTACAAAATGACAATAAAGTTTGTCCAAGTCTAAGCATATCTTAATGGGAAATAAGATGCACGTATAAACATTTCCTTTCAAATTGACCAATTACAAAAAAAAATGCAGAATTAAAAACTAAATGCCTTAAAACTTTTTTTTTAAGAAACATTACACAAAAAAGTATTTATATACACATTAAAAAAGGTTTTCTAGCCAATTAAAGAACCAATTTGAAGCCATGTGTTGCAGAAATAAACATTATTTTAATCTGTGTGTAGGCTTAAATATTAGAGTCAGCGTGTGGGACCAACCAACCAGAACTTAAGCTCTATTTCAAGAGCTGCTATGATAGTTTAAAACGCTCAGAGAAAATGGACATAATTCAGTAAATGCTGCTCTTAACTTTCAAAAATTAATTCATTAAAATGTGCCTGAAAAACAATAAAACTGTCTTGACTTCCAACAATATGGGTACATTGATACTTAAGAGTTTATTTTTCATTTATTATATTTATTTATTTTAATATTTGTGACCTTCTAAAGATGTGGAAGCTTTTAAGAACAAACATTTAAATATTTTGAGCTTCCTATTCAAGTAGAGTGAGGCTGCGGGTTAAACTAAAAGTCAAAATTTGTTAAACAACACCGGCATCTTATTAATCTGGATGGCCTGTAACCGCTTGTTTTTCCAAAAATGACTAAAACAACTTACAGTCAGTGAGTCAGACGGCATTTTTCCACGTCTGGATCGCTCAAGGTGATGAACCAAAAATCCCCCTGCATAAAATAGCTGAATACTCCTCAGAAAATTAGACTAAGCGTTTGTGACCTCTCTTTTTCCGTAACAGCGCAGACGAAAATAGACAAGTGCATTTATGATGTATGGATGTGACTTTAGGTTACAAGGTCATGTGAAACCTTTGATACTTTGAAACTAACTTCTTGGGAGCAGCGTTTATGGATCCATCACTGCATCTATTAATGAGACTTGGGTCAATGGTGTGGTTTAGTGTCGTTTCTAGGAGTGTGACCCGGGTTTGACAGCACCCAGAGAGGTGATGCTGTGCTACAACTGGGGGAGGGGGCTGCAGAAGTATTTGATGTCTGGAGGTAGAAAAGGGGGGTTAACGAGTTTATGGGGGGGTTCAGTTGTGACCTACATCTTGGGTCTGGAAGAGTCTCTTCATCCAGTTATTCTACCCTCTACACACACACACACACACACACACACACACACACCCACACACACACACACACACACACACACACACCCACACACACACACACAGAGTAGCGGCAAATATAATCCACAGTCGCTCAACAATCTGCCCATCAAAGAAAAAATGCCAAACCAAATGAATGCAAATTATAGCAAAAAATACTTGTCACTTATCAGTTTTTGTTTTACACTTCCTTCCGTTTTCTGTCTCAAATGAGATTATCTTCTGTGAATGTTATCTCCTCGCTGCCTGAGGTGTGCTTTTCGTGGGAGCTGGAGGGCAGCTTGCTGGAACGGTTTTATTTGGACAGAAGGCGGGAAGCGGTGGTGAGACTGCTGGTGAGGAACAGGGAGCTGGGAGCCAAGGCTGGACATCAACTATTCAGGGTTTCCTGAACATTTTCCATTACACGGCATCCAGGCTTTTCCAGCCTGGAATTTTCAAACACCTCAGCCAATGTTTGGGGGATACTGGAGGTTAAGAATAAACTAAAGACAATGTGACATGTAATCATTTTAACTCTATTAGGGTGGTTAGGATGATCACCTTCCTAGTCTAAAAATTTTAACAAACTAATTTGAAACCATATTTTATCACATAGGGTTAAATCAACAATTATACAAACGAAGCGTCTAACTCTATAGCTTCTTTTTCAGAAGAAATACAAAAGACAGTCAAGTTTAAATTGTGTAAACAAAAGCCTAATGATATGATACGCCCAAAAGATATGATTAAGCTGATGTTTCTATTACTTAGTATGCTGAGAGCAGTTCTCCTTTGGGAATTTATTTTTTAGGAGGTTTTGAGGCAAGTAATCTATCTCTTTATAATAGGTGCCAGATTTCTATCTTGCTTTTTTTGAGAGGATACATTTTACCTCTCTATATAAAAAAGCAAGAGTGGAGATTTTAATATGAACCAGTTTGTCAAATTTCTGTAAATGCAACAACTACTCTTCTGAGTCCATCAATATGTAATTGCTCCCATCGGCCTCCATCCTGAGTCCATCCCTTTTCATCTACTGATCCCTAATGTACCGTTTCTGTAAGGCCTGTTTGTATTGCATGCATCTTATGTTTCTTAATGGGAACATCAACCTGTCCAGGGACTACAAATTGAAATTAGCCAATGGCTACAATCTGGCGTATGTGTATGTTCCTTCATATGTACTATTAGTTTTTAAATTAATAACTCACAATATAGAGACCTTGTGTTTCTGATAGAACATTTTCATGATCTCCAAAACAAAAATTTGGATTTTAAAATTTTATAACATTTGGTCATTAGTTTGTGTTGTCCTACAAAGACCGTAAAAAAAAAAAAAAAAAAAAAAAAAAAAAAAAAAAAAAAAAAAAAAACATGATATGGAGAAACTTCAAAAGATCTATTTTTTATTTTAAGGTGGAAAAATCTCAAACCTTAATTACTGTGGTAACATTTTTTTTCATCATAAAGCCTTCATTTTAACGATGCACAGTGTTAGATCAAGACGCAAAGATTGTCAGGTCATCTTGCTGCTCTTCCAATCTATCATGTTTAAATCTTGATTTATTATATCAACATATAAAGAGCCCAATGCAGTTTTTCTAATTTTGACCACATACCCCCGATCTCCTACATCCTTGTGTATCTTTGTTCTCTTAGGTCAGCTGATTAGCTACTGCTATCAGTACTTTGAACGTGGCATTTTCTCTGAGGGGACCTTGTCTTCAATAACACTAAAGGATGCTGGTGGGGGATTTTACGTTTTTTTCTGAATTTCTATATAGTTTTTACTTAATTTTTATGCTATTTTCAATGATTATTTTTTTAATCCTTTAAGGGTGTTTGTATTTCTGCTTTTTGGTCCTTTTTGATACAGATTTGATTGGATTAACTAATTAACAAAACACATTTTAAAGATTATGGTGGTATATTGACAAATCAAATTTTAAAATGAAATATTTTAAGCGTCTCAGAAATATGATGCTATAGTAACAGATTTTGTTTAGACCACAATTATCTTATGTTGAGAAATATGCACTCTTATGCTGAATATATTATCAAAATATAAATTAGATGCTAATTAATAGTTTAATAATCCCATTATCCTTAAAAAAAAAAAAAAAAGAATTCAACCTGAAAATCCTGTAATCGTTCGAGACTATTTATTAAAAATACTGAAACTTAATCCTCTATGTGTTCCAATTTTATTTTCCTTACAAGACTGAAAGAATCGGCGAAAATTATCCTAGCTTATAGGCAGGACGGTCACTGGAGGTACATACTAGTGGACTTCATTATGTATTGTAGATCACATTAACTGCTGATGGCTCAATAACGCTGCTGTGCCAACTGCACAACACTGAACACACAAAGGGACGATTGCTAAGCAGAAAAACTTAAAGTTGTGTGTCACAAAGAGCTCTTTAGAAAAATATACGATGGAGTGAGACTGAGTGGAGAGTAATATGAGTAAAGGACACACTGGCAGACCGAGGCCTACGAAGAACAAGCATGGCCAAACACACAATACAATTCATTCAGTGATTCATTCATTCTCCCTCCCTTCGCCTTTCTTCCCTCCACTCCCTCCTCCTCCTGGTCGTATTTAGAGTAACAGGAGGGGGGGAGGGGCAGCAGACGATGATAATGCAGCAAGAGGCAGTACTCCACCCAGACGCTGCTAGACACACTTATTCAGTTCCTTCTCAACGGCGGCGACAGCACCAACCCACACTGAGCATGAAAGGGAAACAGAACGCGCACACGTTGCTGCACCACACCCAAACCTTACCCCCCCAACACACACAAAAAAAGCTCCAAAATCTAGAAAATAGACAACACACGTTCAAAAACAGAGAACACATGGGTAGTGGGCCTAACCTTGCATTGTGGAGTCTGTCAGACCGTCTTCCTCTCTCTACTCTTCTTATTTTTCCTCCCTCTCTCCTGCCAGCCTGCTCGAGGCTGACTGGATCCCAGCTGTCATCCACACCCAGCCCCTCCCCCACCACCAGCCTCCAATCACAGGCAGCCCCATACACACCCAGCCAACCAGCACTAACCTCATTAGCATAGCTGAAGCAGAGGCTGAGGGCGGTTTGGGCTGTTGTCATTTTTTAAAGAGACAGCTGGCCCGTTTCCCAGTAGCCTCGGCCACAACCCTTCACCTTATCCTCTCCCTCTCATCAGTCTCTAGGGACCCTCCCTCACAGGACTTCCTTCATTTTTCTGCACAGTTACGTCCTATACACATCATCATTATACAACAGCTTAAAACACCATCCATTCCTCACTGTGCAACTGGAAATTAAACCTTACTCATTTCTGTTTCCTTTACTATTAGATAAAGCTTCTTTCCTGGATAAAACAAACACTGAAACTGCAAAAGCAGGAAACATATCAAAGTAAAGACACTGGGTGGGGAGCACAGTAACCATCGATCTATGTCATTGCATAAACCTAAGAGCAAACAAATCATTCTGGGCAGAAAGTATTCAAACAATACAGGAAACAAAAAATAACAAAAGATTTTAAATAAACAACAAATAACACATTTGAAATATTTCTAATTGAAAGTGGTATAGTCACTTTGATCAACCTGATTTATAAGTAGCAAGAGACTAATATGAAAAAAATATGAACTATTAGCTAGTCTAAGATAAATTATATTTATGGGGTTTAAATATAAGTTCCTTCCTTCCTATATATGTAAATATGTATCCTTACCCTCACAAATGCGGTCAAGTCTCTGCCGCTTGACATGTTTGGTTTTGTCCATCAGAGCCATAGACCAAGGAGTCTTAACCTGGGACGGTGAAGAACAAATGTGGGAGCTGGAGGGGGCCCTGTGATGATGTCCACCTGGTATCGCCTGCAGGTACAAAACAAGTGATCCAGTTATTGTTGATTCCGTTTGTTGGAAAATAACACATAAATATTCTTTAATAAGAAGCTTTAAAAAGACATTACAGAGTTTTCTAATGATACTGCTGCCTATGGTCAAAACACAGAACTGCAGCCCTCTTCTGCTCAGTCTTGTAACTCACGCTCGTACCTTGAAAGATTTCTCTATTGACTTTTTTACTCTTTATGTGGAGTTGCCATTGGTGTCTGAGTTAAACTGAATGTTGATCACTTATGAGTATCCACAAAATTAATCTTGAATATACTCTGATTGTTTGCTAGATTGAATCTGTTTAACATGCACATGCTTGACGTCACACCCGTCGAACGGAGAGGGAACCTCTCACCCGAAGTACATTCAAAGATATTAGGCTTAAAGATTCATCTACGCTTAACTACTGAGGTGTCAGTCTGCTTATCAAACAATGTTTTCGTCTTAAAGGGTAAAAAAAGAGGCAATTTTAAAGATATTTTTTAGTAAAAACTGACAGTGTCTCTTTAAGCACATTAGACACCCTGACAGGAATGTAGTTCATTCCTTTGAATTTTAGCGATAACGGAGATCTTTCCAGTTGTTGGATGAGAGGGATCTCCTGAGGCTGCAACTCTTCCTCAACCTGACTGTTCATTGCTGAACTCTATCCTTTTTCAGATGCATTTTTTTTAAACTTCTTTTTCAAGGTAGCGATGCAGCTTAAAGGAATAGTACACCCAAAACATGATTAGCCTTCATTTTCTACTCACCCCTAATGCTGAAAAACACTCTGGAGTACTTTTTTGATATCTCAAATGCATCTGGAGATCTGGGAGGCTTCTTGCTGTCTGCTGACATTCAAATAATGGAGGTCTATGGCGCCCGAGGCAGAAAGGTCCATAAAAGTCCACAAAAAAGTGTCAATATTCCTCCATACTGCTTGTCCAATGTATTCCAAGTGTCCTGAGTGGGTAGCATCCAGAATTTACTTGAAACGAAGTCATTTAGAATGTTTTTAGAGCATAAACAGTAGTGTATAGGATTTCCTGAAAGCGCGTTCACGAGTCTACGGAAACCGCGGCAGACCAAACCAGATGAAAGTGCGCATTCAGCGTCTGCTCTGCCGATAATGCAAGCATAGAAGAAGAAATGTGCTGTTTACCTGTGCAAAGAAAGAAACAACGAAAGAAAAATGTCTGAGGCCTTTAGTGTTAAGGAAGAGCATGAGTTCCTTGTCGAGCTGAATGCGCACTTTCATCTGGTTTGGTCTGCCGCGGTTTCCGTAGACTCGTGAACGCGCTTTCAGGAAATCCTATACACTACTGTTTATGCTCTAAAAACATTCTAAATGACTTCGTTTCGAGTAAATTCTGGATGCTACCCACTCAGGACACTTGGAATACATTGGACGAGCAGTATGGAGGAATATTGACACGTTTTTTGTGGACTTTTATGGACCTTTCTGCCTCGGGCACCATGGACCTCCATTATTTGAATGTCAGCAGACAGCAAGAAGCCTCCCAGATCTCCAGATGCATTTGAGATATCAAAAAAGTACTCCAGAGTGTTGTTCAGCATGGGGGTGAGTAGAAAATGAAGGCTAATCATGTTTTTGGTGTACTATTCCTTTAAAACATCCCTGCTGCTGGAAGGTGACATTATTATAAAAGTTCCAGCTGTCAAAAATGCTTGTAAAATACTTTTACAAACAAACAAATGAAAATATAAAATACTAAATGTTTGCAGCTAGTAGTATTACACAAATAGTTTATTAGCTACAAGTTCACATCTTAAAAAAATAACTAAAAAAAAACCAAAGCTATGGCAGCGAAAGTAGATTAGTTAAAAGAAACACATTCTCCAAAAATTATATCTTAAACATTTTTATTCATTTTTTCAATTCTATCACCTAGCTCTAGGCAAAGGCCTACATTACTGACAATTGTGATCCAGATTAACAACCCTAGATTTGTCTTAAAACCCAGATCCTATGAAAGGTGAACACAAAACATGTGATAAGTACTTTCCTCCATGGTGCTTTCTCTAATTGGTTAGTTTGTGAGATGAGAAATAAAGTACAAAAAAAAAAAAAAACATAATTGCAATAGTTGTATCCCCAACAGTAAAGGAGAGCCATATAATGAGGTATAATGCATGAGTGAAGTTTCCTATTTATTTTCCTCTTCACAAACAGGTTCTATTCCTGCAGAAATGTACCGGAAAGCTAAAAAACACAGTGGGAAGAATAAAACAGTAATGAATGGAGAACAGTTGAAATAATTTTTTGTTACATGTTTGAGCTTGTTTAGAAGGTGGTGTAATAATGGTCTCTAACCTGGCAACGATGCATTGAACTCTCAGCAACATGTTTGGACATTCAAGAAACAGAAAACACTCTTTCCCTCGCATGGGCGTAAAGTTTTTGCTGGTGCCAGATTTTATGAAAGAAATGGCACAATAAACAAGAAAGTAATGATCCGTTTTTGTGTGGCCAGGTTGGTGCAAACAAAGGCTTAGGTGGTTCCAGAAAGGGAGCGTTTTATATTGTGGTTTATTTAACCACATGTGGTTGTCTTCCTAGGGAGAGCAGACTGGATTTGGATTAATTTGACATACAAATTAGAACTGGATTAAATTTTATCACAATCTTACGCTGGGCCTTTATCCAGTTTAGAGTTAAACATATATTTTTTAAAATATGTCCACATGCATGCTCACATGCCTTGAACTGGAGCAGATTATTTGTGGAAAAAAAATAATTTAAATGTGCACACCAGAGGATTAGATAAGATATAGACATAAGGGTGGGGGTGCACTCACCTGGAAAATGTTTGTGTCAGGAAGATTGACAACTTAGTTTAAACTGTAAACAAAGCAAAAGTAAAGAAACTTTAGATCACAGTAATGTCACAATATATCTGCAGATACATTAAGGCACTAAATACTGAAAAAATATGTTAAAAAAAAAATTCATTATGATCCTACATGGCAATCTCATTTCTCTTTTAGAATAGCTTTTTGTACTGTTAATTAGAATGTAGTATATTTTATCATTTCCATTTTAATGATGTCTCTTTGTTCATGTTTTAGCCTGTAAAAGACTCAATTAAACTTTAATTGTGCAAAAATTTTTTAGCACCATTTAGATGTTACTGACATAAAACAAAACAAAAATGTTTTTTAATCTTAGTCAAATTGATTTAAGAAAGAGTACAATGAACATTTCTCTAAATTCAAATAAATACTTGGCCAAATGTGTGTGCAACTTTATTTTACAGAATGTGTTTCTGTTACCAAACATAAGATTATGACGAAGCAGGTCATTCATTCAAGGAGTTGTGTGGTGGATACAGAAATATCATTAAAGCTGTATGCATAATTTTAAGTAGATTTGTACCAATCAATATTTTCGTCTCAGATATCTTCCTGTTTTCTTTCAGGTCTGATCAGCAAAATCTGTTTGCCTTTGTTTTTCCCTTTTAAGGACTGGAACAGATGAGACTCGCTGGATTTGACCAATTTGAACAGAACATGGAGAAATTAAGAACTTGTCCACATTTAAATATGTCCCTTCTTTCATGACTATAAAAAAACATACATTTTAACAGGGCATCAGAAGGCACATTTCAGTTGTTACTATATCAGTCTTTAACAACAAAAATGTTATACGTAAAACAAGTTTATTTCTTTTGCAAATTGTTATTTTATCACAATTATATATATATGTATAAACCCCAGATCGTTCATAAATATTAAAAGCATTTTTGCGTCAATATTCACGATTTCTGGCCTTCTGTTATTTTATTGTTAAAACTTTTAAAGTTATTTAAAGAACAAATTCTAACTTTGTTTAAAGTGAAGATAACTGTATACTTTTGTTCCAACGAAAAAAACAACAAACATAAAATGCATGTGGTAATTAAGAGGGAGAAACTTTATGTAGTACGTATACTACCATCCTAACTGATAAGGTTACCGTTAACCAACTAGTTAGCTGACGAAGCTAGCTAGCTTGTTTCTCCTCCTTCAAATAGCGGGGTAAATTTAATGAATGGCGGACAAATGTGTTAAATTACAGTTTCAATTATTACTAATATTTTGAGTTATCTATGACGCTAACTCAATACCTGCAAGTAAATTATAGTTTGTGAGCCGGGTACAAACTTTTGAATCGCTATCCAAGTTAACTAAACACATAGCACGGGAGCTAGCTGTCCGCTAACCCAAACACAACAGTACTACAAGTGGTTAACATTCTTAAGGTGCCAAAAACTTTCTAAACTATTGAACAATTGATATATTCTCTATCAAATTGTTGTGAGAAAGTTAATAAATGTATGTATTTTTAAGGTCGACCTATGTGAGACGTTTATGCTGCTGCTAACGTTAGCTAGCCATCGCCGTTAAGTGTGGTGTGGCTGGGTCTTTGGGAGAGATGCAGGCGGAGGGGGAGCCCATTTCGTCCGATTTGTTATCAGCGAGTGGCGCTACAATGTGAAATGTTTGACCCAGAAGCTGAGCAAATCCTTTAGTTTCCAAGGAGATTCAAACCTTTAAGAAAGCGAATAAAACTCGTTGTACTTGGCCGCTAATGAGCAAGTTGACGCGAAAAAGGCAGTTATTTACCCCAGATAAACTCTTTGAGGAGCGCCGAAACAGTGTGCGTCCGTCGGTGGTGTTCCCTCTCTCCCGATCGCCATGAAATTAGACAAAAGAGGAAGTGGCTTGTTGATGAGGGGGTCAGACTGTCTGTTTTTTTTTAAAAAAGCGGCCGTCTGCTAGAAGGAGCGCCCTCACCTTCCACGGCGGAGCGACAAAAAATATAAAAGACGAGTTAAGATCAAACCAACTATTCATTGCGTTTCAGTAAATTCAGTAAATAGTGCTAACAACCGACACTTGACCTCACTTGTTACACAAATGGGAGAAAATAAACCAATTATTTAATTGTATTTAAAATTTTATTTAAACAGACACACACCATTATATATATATATATATATATATATATATATATATATATATATATATATATATATATATATATATGTATATATATATATATATATATATATATATATGTATATATATATATATATATATATATATGTATATATATATATATATATATATATATATATATATATATATGTATATATATATGTATATATATATATATATATATATATATATATATATATATATATATATATATATATATATATATATATATATATATATATATATACATATATGCATATATGCATATATATATGTGTGTGTGTGTGTGTGTGTATGTGTGTGTATACCTGTCTAGCCCTTTAAAGTGAAGATAACTGTATACTTTTGTTCCAACGAAAAAAACAACAAACATAAAATGTATGTGGTAATTAAGAGGGAGAAACTTTATGTAGTACGTATACTACTTGGGCGACAGTGGCGTTGGATGGAGGAGTTTGACGAAGGGTTGACGGTTCAAGCCCCGACTCCGACTTTCATTGTCGTTGTGTCCTTGGGCAAGACACTTCACCTGCATTGTCTACTGATGGTGGTCAGAGGGCCCGGTGGCGCCAGTGTACGGCAGCCTCGCTTCTGTCAGTGAGCCCCAGGGCAGCTGTGGCTACAATGTAGCTTGCCACCATCAGTGTGTGAGTGTGTGTGTGAATGGGTGAATGAATGTAGTGTAAAGCGCTTTGGTCAAGTCTCCTAACTTGAATAAAGGCGCTATATAAGTACATGCCATTTACCATTTACCATTTACTACCATCCTAATTGATAAGGTTACCGTTAACCAACTAGTTAGCTAGTTGGTTAACGGTAACGGTAAGAATGGGTGGGTGTGTGATCATTTTGGCAGCATCTAACAAATTTGTTTCAGTTTTTGTCTTATTCATCTCTGAAGATGAGTAACCATTACTATGCAGGCGAAACGCAGCTTTTCCTGACAATGTTACAAAGTGACTATTAACCCACTGAAGCACTGGGTAAGTGTATAGAAGGAACAAATATATGGATGTGCCAACATTTCTTTAACTGAAAGGAAATAAAACTGGAGCAATACATTTTGGTTCATCTACAATTACAATTTTTTGTCAAACTTTTTAGCTTCCTTGAACTTTTCAATCTTTTGCCGCATTTCAGGCTTCAAACATTATCTACGATTGTATTTGTTTTTGACGAATCAACTTCAGTTGGGAAACAATCATGTAGGGGAACAACATTTGTTGGAAAATGTTACTTTCTAAACAAATAAACAACTGAAGAATGGGGTGTGCAAAATTAATCGGCCCCTTTACTTTCAGTGCAGCAAATTTCTCATCATTATGACTGATGATGCTTTGCGATTGGCAGGTGACCTGTCCAGGGCGTACCCGGCCTCTTGCCCATAGACAGCTGGAGATATAAGCACCAGCACCCCTGACGACCCCGCTTGGGATAAGCGTGATGGAAAATGGATGGATGGATGACTGATGATAATAAAAAGAATCCACCTGTGTCTAATCAAGTCTCCGTATAAATGCACTTGTTTTGTGATAGTCTAAGAGGTCTATTTAAGGCGCAGAGAGCATCATGAAGAACAAGGAACACACCAGGCAGGTCCGAGATACTGTTGTGGAGAAGTTTAAAGTCCGATTTAGATACAAAAGATTTCCCAAGCTTTAAAACATCCCAAGGAGCACTGTGCAAACCCCAATATTTAAATGGAAGGAGTATCAGACCACTGCAAATCTACGAAGACCAGGTGGTCCCTCTAAACTTTTAGCTCAAACAAGAAGATAACTGATCAGAGATGCATATCCATAGGACAACAATCAGTATTATACTGCACAAATCTGGCCTTTATGGAAGAAAGCCATTTCTTAAAGATGTCCATTAAAAGTCTAATTTAACCTTTGCGGTAAGCCTCCTGGGAGACACAGTAAACATGTGGAAGAAGGTGCTCTGGTCAGATGAAACCAAGATCCAACTTTTTGGCAACAATGCACAACGTTATGTTTGAAGTAAAAACAACACAGCTCATCACCCTGAACACACTAATCCCACTGCCCAACAGGGTGGTGGCAGAATCATGGTTTGGACCTGCTTTTCTTCAGCAGGTACAGGAAAGCTGGTTAAAATTGATGGGAAGATGGATGGAGCAAAATACAGGACCATTCTGGAAAAAACCAAGACTGGGACGGAGATGTATCTTCCACCGAGAAAATAATCTAAAACATGACTCTACAATGGAATGATTCACAAACAAACATATGCAGATATTACAATGATCAAGTCAAGGTCCAGACCGGAACCCAATCGAGAATCTGTGGAAATAACTGAAAACTGCTGTTCACAAACTCTCTCCTTCCAACCTTAATGAGCTCAAGCTGTTTTGCAAGGAAGAATGGGCCAAAATTTCAGTGCCAGGATGTTCAAAACTGATAGAGACATACCGCAAGTGAGTTGCAGTTGTAATTGCAGCAAAAGGCGGCGCTACAAAGTATTTTACACACCCAGTTTTTCAGTTTTTTATTTGTTAAAGTTGAAAATATCCAATACATTTCTTTCCACTTTATGATTGTGCCCCGCTTGTTGTTGATTCTTTACAAAGAATTACAATTTACTGCAAACACAATCTATTTTTATGTTTGATGCCTGAAATGTGATAAAAGGTCAAAAAGTTCAAGGGTGTCGAATACTTTCACAAAACACTGCAAGTTAGAAACAAATGATCCGGCCCCAAATCTTGTTGGGAATGTGATGAACTGAAACCTGAACCTTCAGAGGCACATAACGAAACTAACAAAGTCAGCTGAAGTCACCTAAAGAACATTTCCAAGGTTAAATGACTAATGTCTCAGCAGGATCTGGAAAAATTGATCAATTCTTAGCATAACTGATTATATCATCAGTTTTCTCACAGGCCTGCCTATGAAGTGGATCAGACAGATGCAGTTGATCCAGAATGTTGCTGCCGATGTCCTCACTAAAACAGAGAAATTGGAACACATCACCCCTGTTTAAAGGTTCTTACACTATCACATCTTATTTCAGATAATGGATTGTAGAATACTTCTATTGACCTATGAATCATTGAATCACAGACTAGTTGCTTGTGCACCATCCACCCAGATGCCTCAGGACTTCCGTGTCAAGTTTGCTCTGCTTACCCAAAACCAAACATGGACAATCGATATGTACTGCTCATGCCTCAATTACTCTACACAAAGTTCTTGAAAAGTGGTTGAAATCCCATTCTTAGTTGCTGTTCAATGTTGCTTAAACTGTTCACTGAAACATAATCAGTTTGTCGTCTACCTTTACCTGTCTTTATTCTGCCATAGAGATACATTTTATTGTGTGTTTATTCTCTCCTTACTACGGTTCACTTTGCATAATTTTTTACTGAAATGTGCTACACAAATAAACTTGCCTTGCCTTGAATGTAATTTAGACCTCTGTCAACATTTAAATTTTCTATCCAATTTTAGTCAACGATATTTGCTGTGAATTAAATTTGCAGTGCAGATAGTTATGTTTTTACATTTCTTTTATATGATAGTCTGTATTTTCATTTTAAACTGTACAAATCCCTTCTGCAGCCTTTAGATGAGGTGCGTTCACTTTGTCTCCATTCTGTTACCCAGGGATTATCATAGGTCTTATATGACTCAAAGTATAGAAATAGTACCATCTATTATATTTGGGGGAAATATTTAAAGTTTAAATCAGATACTTGTGCGTTGACGTGAGTTTAAAGGTCTCACTGGCTAATCTACTGGCTAAAATGACATTCAATTGGTATCTTCTCTTATAAATGCACAGTGGAGAAGTTGTCTTGCACGCAGAAAAATCTTATGGTTGATCTTTCTGCATGCATGAACACTAGCAAGTCCATGGTGGTCATAATGGATGGGGGTAACAGGAAGAGGGAACAGGCTCCTCTCTGCATACAGGAGGAGATGATGCAGCATTAAGCATTCTTTTTTCCATTGATCTCCCTTGCAGGGTAAACACTGCTCACCTGGTGAAGAAGGACCAATAATGGTTCTTCTTTCTCTGGAAGCTGAAAAACGGACTAGACTTTCTACCCCGCTGCTCACAAACTTTCATAGGGTCAAGCCTAAAAGTATGCTATATCTCTATAGGAGCTGCACAGCATCAGAGAGGGAGGGTTGCCACAGAATTGTGGGATGCCATCTACCAGATCTGGTATTTGTTCATCCTGCACCAATCCAGAAAACGGTCAGGTGCATTGTCACAGATCCCAAACCCATCTGGGAAATGCACAGTTTGTCCCACTTCCATCAGGAAAACGATGCAGGAACATTATTTATAAGAAAAAAATCACAATCCTTCCCCTTAAGGCAGACACTAAACATGGGATTCAAAAAAGCCTCCAGCCAATAGACAGTTTCAGCAGAAATTGCACTTTCTCTAAGTACATGTACACATATTGTTTTGCATTTTGAAGTCTAACGCATTTGTTCTTTGCTATATCATGTTTTTAACTCATTTTTCTATATTTTATCTCCAATATCTGAGCCTGGTTGCTGTCCCATCTTAATTTATACTAGACATTAGCTGGTTAGCGGTATCACAGTGTACCAAGTTTATTATGAACAAACGTTTCCTAAGAGCTGAGAGTTGGAATGCCATGATCTCCTTACTTTTTAAAGTTCATAAAATATTTAGTGGAAAGTATTAAAGTTTCTAGTGCCCCAATAAATTACAATTCAACTTTTGCTTATCCTGGTCTGTTTGCATTTCAGTGTGCACCTTCTGCTGCACACTGCAATTCAGCTGGCTGGTTCATATTTCCTTCAACAAGAAGCCCTGTTTTAGCTGTTTGGAAATATGTTTAGACGTGTAAATCTAGACCACTCATAGCCTGAAAACTAAAGAACCTTTTACTACATTTTAAAACAAAAATTAGAAATAATTTCAGGACTGCACATTGGTGCAGTTTGTAGCACTAGTTGCCTTCCAGCAAGAAGGCTTTCTGCAAGTTGTCCCTGTGCATATATGGGTTTTCTCCCATAGTCCAAAAATATGACTTTTAGGTTAACTGGCTTCTCTAAATTGTCTTTAGGTGTGATGTGGAATGATTGGTGACCCGTCCAGGGTGTACCCCACTGCCACCCAGACAGAAGATGGATAGAAACAATTATTCATAGAAAAAATGCAATATTCCAGGCCTCAGTTAAAGCCACTATACTGCGGGTAAACACCATGCATTCTGGACAGACTAAGAAATAACCAGCTTGCTTTACAGGTTACTCTATAAAAATAACTGCTCAAATTATTTTTTTGTAATGATCATTTAGTCAGGTTATACCACTTTAGCAATAATAAATTTAGTCAGTATTAAAGTGAGATTTCTTTTCACTCCTTTGCTTTAAAAGTAAAATAATTCTTACACAAAATAATGTATGAGAATCTTCTCCTTGAACTTGCAAACTACAGACAGGATTTCCATTTCAAAAGTTTAATCATGAACAAGACCACTTTTTAGACGCTGATATCATTTTTAACTACAGCTTTTCTTTTTTGAGAAGTGGGTTTCCTTAGCTCTGCATTTTTTTCTAAATTTTTTTTTTTTTTATTTGCTAACTTTGGTTTGCTTTGGAGGTGACACACCTAATTTCCCCCATTGAGACAATAGGATTTTTGTATCTTAAAAAAAACAAAACTTTAATACTTAATTCAACCACTAGATGGCACAAGTGATTTTATTCTACATTTCATCATTTTCAATAATTAACATAAAACAAACGCTTAAGACCTTTGGAAAAAAAAGCCTATTAAATTTTATTCATTCATACATTGTGCAACAGGAGTTTTTCCATTTGAAAACATGAAAGATAACTCGAAGGCCACAAATCATCTTCATTACTCCAGCCTTTGCCACATCCACTCAGAACAGGGTGGAAACATGACTCAGTATTTACTGCTGTGCAGTACATTAGTGTGCCACAGAGTCCAGCTGCTGCACTGATTCAGTTATTCTTTCAGCTATTGTAGTTTATGTGCCAAGCATTCAAAAATATCTGAATGAGTGCAAACAGAGACCATAAATGTGCCTCGCTGTAAAAAGGGGACCAGAGCACCCATGGCTCTGCATTTAAAGATTAAGGCATGGTCAAGTTAACAGCATGGTCAAGGTTGCATCATTTGTGAAGGATACTTTCCTATTATTCATTTCACTACAATAGAAAAAACTAATTCCCTTTGAAGAAGCAAACATATTGTACAACAGAAACTGAAAAACTCATTTCTTTTACAGGGAGAATTCAAAATATTTAAGTAGAATCTGGAATGTTCCTGTTAAATATACAGGATAGCACTAAGATATGAGTTCCTTCTGCACATGGCATCACCACAAGTGCTTGTGTGCAGATTTTCAATTCAAGCTGATATTTTTTTTCCTTCACTTCCATATGTTGCACCAATAAGGCTGTGAAAGACTACAGAGATGCAGCGGATAATGTTAAGACTCTTGCTGATTAAAAACAAAAAAATTCATCAAAGTATTCACATGAAAAACTGCTTGTTTGCTCGTGTGCATTTCCCTTTAAGAGGGCTGAGCAGGCAGGCACTGACATTTCTGAGTCTGAAAACTGAGCTTACACACTACACTGCAAGCTGATTGAAAATTGGTTTCAATCATCAACTCAAGCGATTAAGAGTAGATTATTCCCAAAAGGCTCTACCTGAAGCCTACATGTGTGCTTTTTTTATGGTTATGAATGCAGTAGGAACATTAAGCACCACATCATGGTCAGTTTTCTTCTATGAGGCTCAAGTCCAAATCTGTACAGTCTCTTTCAAAAAGAACCTTTCCAACAGCTAAAACAGTCCTTTCTCCCTCTTCCTCCTCTTCACTTTCACTCAGCGGGCCGATGCTAGTCCTTCCCAGGAATTCAGCAGGCGAGAAGGCCAAGCGCTGCTCTGACTGGGACACAGGAAAGATGCCCCCACTTGCTCCACCCACCAGGCTGTCATAGTTACTCATCTGTACAGTAGAAGGGGAAAAAACAAAACCCAAATCATACACAGAAAAAAGAAAAATCTACAGATAAAGATGGGGGGCTAAATAAAATCTAGATTAACTTCTGTTAAGGTTCTACCATTATGAAGAACAAAGAACACAGAAGATGGGACGGGGAGAATTTAGGTATGATTTAAACATATGAAACAACCATCATTGAAAACTGGAAACCTGAGAAATTAGGATAGTGTGTGACAAAACCAGCAACGCACATCATTATAAACATTGTTTCCTAATGTGGAGCATGGAGGTGGCAGCATCATGGGTTGGGAAAGCTTCTCTTTAATAGAAAGGGATACTAGAAAGGGTCTTTATAGAGGCAGCAATGTGGTTCAGGGTAATTGAGGTACTTTAACATATCAGATGTGATCAAGTAAAGTGTGCAAAAAGACGAGGCTACTTCTGTAGAGGGCAGGCATTTCTAATCAGAAGATCCCCAATTAAAACAGTTCCAAACACATTCTTAACTTGTATAACAACCAGACTTTAATAAAAAAAAAAAAAAAATCACAGACTTCTTGTGAAACAAGACAAAAGAGAATTGTAATGTTTTCAGACAACAGTGGTTTGCATCCAGCTTCAGAAACTGAAAGCTCTGCTCCTTTAGTGAATAGGAGAAAATCCGATTGGACTGACAGCAGCTGGACATCAAGTTTTGACTTTGACCAGGTCATAATAACTATTCTACTTTGCTATAAACCATTCTAGAGTTGCTCTGGCTATAGGAAAAAGTAATTGTGCAGCTGGAAGGGAATGCTTCACCCCTGTAAAAATGAAAAAAACTTTTTGCCATCATTACCTGCAAACCCCCCCCCCCCCCAAATAAAAAGGAGTGCCATGCTCCTTGTTCAGTTTAGGTGAATAATCATTTTATTACTCTTTGCCTTTTATAGCCACATTTTATTTAGGGGCATCAGAGGTAGAGGCTGGATACAAACATCACGTCTTAAATTCAGTATGAAAGAAAACACTTTACAATTAAACTGCTTTGTTTTGGTCCATTATGACCATTATCAAATTAAAGTTTGTGAAAAAATGACCTAAAACATATGTGGAATCTTTCCGATCCAAATAGATTTTCTCACCTGTGTCATTTTGCTGAAGTCCAGCCCTGGCCTGGAGCAAGGCGGAATATCTGGGTCGTGGCGCCGCTTCAACCGCGGTTTGCGCATGTCACAGGGCTGCGAGTGGCATCGTGGCAGGGCAGGGTGCAGGTCCCGCCTAGAGCAGGACGGTGTACTGCAGGCTGAGGTGGGCGAGGGACACAGGGTCGGATATTCTGGGCCTGAAAAGCTATGTGCCGTAAAAGGAGCTTGGGAAGGCTGGGCGTGCATGGACGTCACCGAGGCAATTTGAATGTGTACAGGAGAAAGGGAGAAGCGACGGTGAAGGACAGAATTAGAAACCAGGGGAGCTGGTGAGGAGGAGCAAGAGGATGGAGTAGCAAGGGAAGCAGAGCAAGCACCTTTCAGTGTATCACAGGGATCCCATGGGAAGCCGCATGACAAAGAGGAGTCAGAAGACAAGGCTAAACTAAAGAAGTTAGGGCTAGAGGACGAGTGTAAAGAGAGGGAGGTGAAGGAAGAACTGGGACCACAAAGCAGAGAACTGGCTCCAGAGCCGGAACCTGATGCTCCCCCGCTGTGGCAGCCCCGTTTAACTGGAGTCCAGACTTTTGATGCGCTTGGGTGCCAAGTGGAGCGACACTGGGACAGATCCTCTGGCACAGAGAGCGAGCGGCAGTGGCGTTTCGGAGGTGGCGGAGGGGAACTCTGGAGTGAAAGCTTTGGTTCCTGCAGTGGCTCTCCAGAGCGGGAACGAGGCCAAGGTTCACACGGTTTAGCCAAAACATGTGCCTTGGATGACTGCTGCGAGGCTGAGCTGGTGTCTAAGAGTCAAACAAATACAACTAAGATTTTCATCACGATTAAAGTTTCCCTTCCAAATTCTTCCATCTTACCTTGTGTTGATTTCCCAGCACTCCAAGAAACAGTGGGACTCGAGCCCACTGCAGGCAGAGACTATTAAAAATGCAAAAATGTACTTTCAAAGCTCAAATGCACAGCTAAATTATGTCAAAGGTCAAGTGAGTTTATCATTATTACAACACTTACCACACTGGCATTGAATGTGAAAGCCTTGTGATAAGGTTCCTCTAAACTCTGCTTACGGAGCTGCTCCGTGATAAGTGTAACCATAATTGCAGTCCAAGGAGACGCATGAAGACGTTAGATCCACCGAGAGTGGTGAAATTTCTATTTTCTTCCCCTGTCAGAACTCTGGCGTGGTCTGTGGTGTCCCTCCACACCTCAACCAGCCAGACTGCCCAGCCCTCCAGCTATAGCATCCTCATGTCTGTGCCAGCTGAAGGGACAAAATAATGGTTTAAGCAAACTCAAAGGTGAGACAGAGCAGAGATCATTAAACAGACCTGTTACAATGCAGAGAACAGTCAATTAAACAGTATCTTACAAAGCAACAGTGTGAGGAACAGAATGCATGAGTACCGAGAGCATACTTCTGCATGAAAACTAAGCAGGGATCTGTGAGCTGCGTCATTCACTTCGTACATGAAAGGGAGAAGTTCAGGTTCACAAAGACAGAGAGCACACGGGGACGTAAGGAGGCCCTGAACAAAGGAGGACTTCACATTCCATTAAAACTAAAGAGTGCACACCCATTAAAACAAAAACAACAACAAAAAAAACAACAACAAGAAACTCAGAATAGTGATATTTTAGAACAGGTACAAAGTTAAAAACTAATGTCAAGGCCAGACATGTTAGTTTGGATCCAATCAACTAAAGTTCCTTCCCAGAACTCTGGGTGCTGCAGAGAAAGGAAGGGGGCAGGGAAAACTAAAAAGGAGAGGATGGAGGGGGAAGTCTGTGGAAAATGAATGGGACAGGGGTTTGAAATAAGCCACAGGATCTCAGCAAGGCAGAGGAGTAAAACCACATTGACCAGGTTGTATGGGTGCAATAAAAAAAAAAAAAAAAAAAAAGAAGAAGAGCCAAGCAGAAGGCAGCAGACCACAAGGGATCGTACATCCTATCTGGTGGCTCATTCTTTCTATATCACATTTCAGCACAAGTCGTTGTGAGTCACTTTTCCTCTTTTCCTAAAGATTAACCCGCATTGGCTGAAGAATGAACGTTACACAAATCTTTAAACTACTTCTCAAACTGAAACTAAATAAAAGACCATATAACTGTTAAATGGAAATGAAGCATGCCCTTGTAGTGTTAACACTAGTGTTGAGGAGTGCAAAGGCTAAAGTACATATAATACCAAAACCAATGCCAACAGAATGAACAGTTACAGCATAAATGCTATAAACTAAATCATAATCAAAAGAAAAATGTACTTAAGACATTCTCAGGGCACACTGAAACTTAAAAAGAGTGTTGGTTTTTAGATGTGGCCTCCAAAGCCTGCCATCTCATGACAACACTGGCCGCTACATTGCTAGCCTAGTTCCACATGCCACACAAGTCAAAGAGTGGCACACCAAACCTCATCAAATAGCAACAGCCCTGAAAGACCAAAACCAAAGCAAAGACAGTGGCGTCAGCAATCATTTGCTAATTTAAAGCTAGCACATTAAATAACAAAAGTGAGAGTATATACATATTAAAATAACATGTCCTCAAAATTATGGCTGTTTCGTGGAAATGTATAGAAAAATAAAATAGACATTTAACCTACACGTAATTTAGAGTGCAGAACAAAATCTAAAGCTAGGAGCGTTTTAACGTGGTGGCGCAGGTCGCTCATTTCTTAATAAAAAATAAATACATCGATAGCTGAAATTGATCTGAAACATCAACTGCATTAAATATTTTATCCAGATAGATTTTTATGGTTAAATCAATCTAATGCAGAAGCTAGTAGGCAAGCTAGCTTCTTAACACGATGCAGCCCGTGAGACATCAAGTTAGCAAGCTGATATGATAAGTGTGCCAATTCAAAACACAGGCATTTATTCTTTCAGCTCGCCTCTTAATTTCTGACCGACAATCGTTCACTTGGAAACACCATTTGTAAGGCTCTGAAAATATGCCACTCCTGAATTTATCGGCTCATATCACAGTCACGCAGCCGTCCTGAAAGCTAGCACGCTACAGCTGACATGATGCGTTACCTGCTTTCTGTGGTTCCTTAGCAACCGAAACTCACACGGCCGAGAGAGCTACAGAGGCTATATAGCTTTTGGGCAATACCAACTCAGACATATGTATGAAAGCAATTTCCCACTAAAAGGACTTTAAGCCCACAAATAAAGATAAACGTTTCGCATATTTGTTTTAGTTTATGTTAGGTTAGATATATTAAACTCTAAACATATTTGGTATTGCACGTAACAATAATATTCACACGTATTACCCCCTTACATCCACACAGTTATACCGTTCCACTTAAAGGCACAGTACATTTTCAAAACCCTACCGCAAATGTTTTCGTTTTCATGTATAATACTGGAAAGTAATATTGAAAAACATTACTAAATCTAAATATTGAAAAGTTGTTTTTATAGATCTACTTCCATTTGGAAGTAAAAGCAAAAGTCTGTCAAAACAGGGTAAACTTAAATCGCCAGGCTGGGATTTGCGCATGCGTGTAGGATGTTTTCACGTCGCTCAAGAAAAAGGTTCTGGATCTTTTGCAAAATAGGTTAATTTACATAACAACCGACAGTCTTTGGTGATATAAACCCCTCATTGGTTTAATATTTTTCTTGAGCGTTTTCATCTGACGACCCAAGATAAGATATGGCAGAGGAAAGATTTAAGAAAGCGGAAACACTCGAAATGAGACAGAGGTTAATTGGGTAGGTAAAATCAGAGTTCTTTTCTTATTTATTGTTGGTTATTTGTTTTCTCCTTTAGGCCACTGAGCTGACCCCTATCTTGTTTAATCACAGCCAGTCGTTGAGGCTGTTTTATTCGGACGATCCTGTGAAGATAGTCAAAGCAAGAGGACAATATCTGTTTGACGAAAATGGAAAACGTTTTCTGGATTGCATCAGTAACGTTCAACATGGTAAAGTTTTACACTACCAATAACTGATCCTTTATAAAGATTATATGCAATACTGTCACCCGGTGGCAGGAAGTCTTTCCAGTGTTTTTACCTGTTGTTAAAGCTTTCTAGCCAAATTATTCATATATTTTTTACAAACTTTTTTCTAAGGAGTCATCCACAGCACAAATGTTAGATGATAAAAACATGATTCATAGTTTCCAGTCGTCCCCTACATTGCAGAGAGCTTTAATTTTCTATTTTTGCATCTTTCTTACCCAGATCTAATGTTTGGACACGGTTATTGCCCAGTTATAGCAGAATAGCTTGAAATTTAGGAATATTGGAGGAATATTGTGATTATAATATCACATTTACTTCTTGAGGAGGATGAGGAGAGCCCACCTGCCCCCACCCATCCTCACCACCTTCTACAGAAGCACCATAGAGAGCGTTCTGACCAGCTGTCTCACTGTGTGGTGGGAGGCTGCAGCGCCTCAGACAGGAAGAAGGTGAGGAGTGTGGTGAGAACAGCAGAGATCATCTGGGCTCCTCTTCCCTCCATTAAAGACATTTCATCCCAGCGCTGCGTGCCCTGAGCCCGTAACATTATCAATGACCCCTCATAAACCCACCATTGACCGTTCTCCCTGCTGCCCTCTGAGAAGAGACTTTGAAGCATCTGATGCAGGTCCAGTAGATTCCAGATGGTTCTGCTGAATGTTGTATAAAATTAGTGTTGAAACTGTAACTAATATACAGTCATATGTTTACATTTATCACTGCTGCTTACCTTTATCAAGGCTGCACTTTCAAAATTAAAATGTCTTGAGACCTGTACTGAACCAAATATCTTATGTTTACACTCTGTGTGTACAAAGTCACAAATAAAGTCTGTCTAAGTCTAAGAATATTGGATGAGGAGTTTATTACATCCTTTTTTATTCCCAATGATTTCACTTACCACTTAGATGACTTTTATAGTCATTTTGTATATGCAGAGTTTATACAAAACAAAATTTCATTTATTACAGCTTTTCAGACAGTAAATAAACATTTCTATTCCATAAAGTGCAGCAGTGATTAAATGTAAACAGTGTGGGAGAAAAAAAAAAACATGTTGTAAACAACACATTGATAGGGAAGTTCAGAGCATTTATATATATATATGGTGCAAATATGCAGTGTTTGTGTGTTTTAAGCAGGAACTTCCAAATTATTGTAAGTGGTTTGGTGTTATTAGTGGGATGCAGAGTCTGTGACATGACAGTTCAACAGTCTGATGGCGGTGGGGAAGAACCTGTTGCAGAACCTGCTGGTCCTACATCGAATGCTGCAAAGCCTCTTCCCAGAGGGCAGCAGAGATTCTCCACTGGATTTAGATCCAAAAACTTGACATTGCCACTGAAACACATGATTGAGCTTTAACCTAACCCATCCCCCAAAGCACTGACTCCATATTTAGGGCCATTGTAACCACTGAAAGGTTAACCTCACCCAGAGTCTCTAGCAGGATTTTCTTCAGAATTGCACTGTATTTATGAAGCTATATCATACACTCTGACCAGTTTCATAGTCCCCACCCTAAAAAAAAAGCAAAATAAACACGGATCTCCATAACTTAAAGGGGAACGCCGTTTTTTTTTTTTTTTACATTGGGCCCTTGATTTGACGTTATTACATCATACTACTCACCCATATGAGTTTTGTGTCATTTGGAGCTGTTCTGAAGATATTTCGTTAGGTTACAACCAAGTAACGTCTTCCTATTTAGTTTGAAGACACAAACTACTGTAAACTGTTCAGAATTTATTCTTTATGGTACGCCAGCATTTATAACATGTAGGCGAATCACTGTCCCCCAGACATCTGCAGTTTTATATATTTTTTAAAAACAAAGCGGCGCTTGTATGATGTCATCCGACGTTATAACATTTTATGATGTAATAACGTAAAATCGAGGGCCCAATATAAAAAAAAAGGCGTTCCCCTTTAATGTTACCATCCTATGTTTCACTCTGGTACTATGTATGGGTTGGTAGATCCTGTTTATAGAAAACTTACCCAATTGAAAACATGATTGTTTTATCTCCTTACTAGGTGAATTTAAAATGCAAGTAGATGCACTGGATGTTAATAAGGGGAATAAAAATAAAAGGGGATTAAGTTTCAGATTTTTTTTCTTCTTACAAATAATTTCATTAACCCTCTACATTACAATTATGTACACATGAAATTCAGTTATTAAATCCTAGTTGATGTTAATGAAAAATATTTTAAGGCTCAAGTAATATGAATAGTTTGCAAAACGCTGTTCTTCCTGTAGTGGGACATTGCCATCCAGATATAACAAAGGCTGCTGCGGCCCAAATGGACCTCCTGAATGCAAATTCCCGGTTCCTCCATGACAACATCGTCCTTTATGCAGACCGACTGGCTGCCACCCTGCCTGAGAAACTGTCGGTGTTCTATTTTGTCAACTCTGGGTAAGAAATCGATCTGAAGCTTCACAAGACCACACCTGAGAAGGAACATTTTAAGTGATCCCTCTCTCTTCTTTGAAAGCTCAGAGGCCAACGATCTTGCCCTCCGCCTTGCAGAGCAGTACACCCAGCATGAGGATGTTATAGTGCTTGACCAGTAAGAATCTAAATTCATGAGCAACACATTAAATAAAAAAAAATGTTTTCTCATTTATACATTCCTTTCACACCAGTGCATACCACGGGCATCTTAAGTCTCTCATCGACATCAGTCCTTACAAGTTCCGAAAACTGACAGGACAGAAAGAATGGGTTCATGTTGTGTGTAAATATATGAAACTTAGAGCATGCAAATTTAGAAACAACAAAATATTTGAGTCCTGCCTGTCTGAGAGATCGCAATATGTCCTCACAGGCACCCTTACCTGACACTTACAGAGGAATATACAGAGAAGAGCATCCCAATCCAGGTCAAGCTTATGCTGATACAGTAAAAGACTTGATAGAGGAGATCAGCAGAAAAGGTCGAAAGGTACATTTAATCCATCATTTTAAAAGATTAATTCACCCAAACTCTACCTGCTACAGTTAACAACACAAGTCGATGACATTTTTGCGATATTCATTATTCGCTCTCCCTTAGATTGCAGCCTTCTTTGCTGAATCAATGCCCAGTGTTGGTGGACAAATCATCTTGCCCCAAGGATACTCGTCTAAAGTCGCAGAGTCAGTACTGATCTATTAGCTATGTTTCTTTGCCACCGCTTGCATAGGGTGACGTTGTCGTTTCTACTTTCCACAGATATGTGCGATCAGCTGGTGGAGTGTTTGTCGCAGATGAAGTTCAGACAGGATTTGGACGCACAGGGACTCACTTCTGGGCTTTCCAGCTTCAGGGAGAGGATTTCTGTCCGGATATCGTTACCATGGGCAAACCGATGGGTAACGGACATCCTTTGGCCTGTGTTGCAACCACTGTGGAGATAGCTGGAGCCTTCACTGCTAATGGAGTGGAGTACTTCAATACGGTAACTGTACAGCAATTCTATAGAGAAGGCCAGCATAACTAAGCACATACTTGTTTTAAAATTAGAGGCATTTTTACTGTTCTCCTAACAGAAAAACCTTCTTGTTATCACAATTTTATTCCTATGTGGATTATGTTTACAACGTTTCTCTAACTAAATTCAGTTCGGGGGTAATCCAGTGTCGTGTGCGATCGGTCTGGCAGTTCTGGACGTGATAGAGAAGGAAGATCTAAGAGGAAATGCCGTCAGGGTGGGAACTCATCTGAAAGATTTGCTGAAGAAACTCCAAACAAGACACGAAATAATCGGAGATGTCCGGTAAGAGTCCGTTTTCTCAGATTTTCTCATATGAGCAGGTCAGGTATTAACCTATCTGCATTTATGATACTCTGATGTCCAGGCTTGGACTGGTAATCTGTGTCACCGGGCATTTGCCCGGTGGGACGGTCCTAACTTCAGCGTGCGAGGGCCGGCCCTCATTAAATCATACCGGCACCCTAAGCACCTACCTGTGACAGTAAATAACTCAAGAAGCTAAAGAAGTAATACAATGTTAACTACCTAAAAGCCTTCCTTTTCATGCACATCCTTGTGATGGTTGGCATTTTCTATTTCTTCACACAAACTCCTTGCAACAAACTAAATTATAATAAAACTAAAATGCTTTCTT